GTCGGGATTCAATATTTCGACATTAATTATGTCATCATGAAGGTACGTCGTGTCAAAAATATAACCAAGTAAACGACGTTATACAAAATGGCACAGTATATAATAAACTATATATAACCGCGTGCCTATACGAAAGTACAAAGTATGATAAAAAAAAATATATATATATACCTGCACAATGGCAATGGACAGTGATTGGTAAGAAAATATAATATACCGCTAACATCCACATTTGCACACACATATCGTTGAAATTATCGGGAATGTTGGTAGAAGTGAATATGGTTATTGTAGCATTTCCTTTTATTACAAAGCACAGTCATTCTGAATACTGAGCACAATAACAAATCGACACAATAGTAAAATTCATCATCATCGATTTATTAATCCGCTGTGGTGTTCCATTGAAAATATAACTCAATCGTCTTTGATATATTTTTAATTTATGTTACCTACTTCATGTGCCAAAACCAATCTTATTATTATTATTGTTATTATTATTATTATTAATACACGCTTTTTTCATACTTCTCAAATTCTAATAAAGCTCGAGTCGTGTATTATAAGTAATCCTGTTTTTTTGGGCAGAGATAGAGTACCGGTTGTACAGCACACTATAGTTAAAACCTGGATCATTTATGCAGTTAATTTCAACAATTTTCAGGCATCTTCTTGACTTGCATTGCCGACAAAAAGTGAAAAGACCAAACTCCCACCTCCTTAAAAATATTTAGAGAAGTGTTCCACTGCCCCCCCCCCCCTTGATCATGGGTTTTATGAGGACAGTCCCATTCCAACTGAGCTATTTTTTAATTAGTAGACGGCTAGGTGCTCTTGGATGACATCTGAAAGAAGTTTTAACTTAAAAGCTTAAAATAGAAAGTGTATGTTTTACAAGAGTAGCCTACTACATATAACACGTATACAAGAAGCACACACACACAAACGAGTGAGGTTTTTTTTCCCACGGTCACCGCCCTATTCACTCCCCCCCCCTGGGGCGGATGCAGGGGGTTGCAGAAGGTGCGATCGCACCCCCCCCCCCTAAATTGTATTAAGAAAAATAATTGTATTATATTGTTGATATGAATTATTGATTTTTAAGGTACATGAGAGTGCAATTTCCGGGCATCCAGAGGTCCATATTCTTAAAATTTTCGCACCTCAGGCCCAACCATGGGCGCAGATCATGGGGGAAAGGATAAACGTCCATGGGTGGCGACAGGATTTGCCCGACGTGGGGAGCCGATGTCCCCGATGAAGGGGAAGGTTTCCCCGGAGAGAACAAAGTGGGCGTGGTCGAATGTAGCTTTAAATGCCTCGAAAGTGGTCTGGGGGGGGGGGGGACGAAGCCCCGAAATTTTGGCAATTAAGGGGTTTCAAAGGCTTTTTTAATCGATTTTCGAGTCTACTAATATCTACAAAATACTTACAAAGAGCACTGTACATCCAGAGTATATCATATTTTATCAAGATACCTGTATCTCTGCCCACAAACATCTGAATTACCTATAATACTCGACTCGAGTGCGCGTGCCTTTATTATAATTTGAGAACTATGAGAAAAAACGTGCAAAGATAAGATTGGGTTTCGGCACATGAAGTAATATTTTCTATGGTACATCAGAGCGTTTAATTAGATCGATGATGATGAATTTTACTGTATAAGGGTGTCATATCCGGCAATCTAGAGGTACAATTTCCCCAAATTTTACCACTTCAGCCTCAACTGTGGTGGAGCTGAGAGACGTGTGGACTCACAGTTCTGAAGTAAGTAAAGTAAATACAAGGCATTTTTTTTAAAGTTTTATTTTATTTCTATGGTAACGTACACCACACATACGGTACTAATTAGATCTCTATGGTTGCCGAAAACAGCTGATAAAAGATCATGAGAATTTGTTGGCGCTTCATGTTGACTATATTATAATGGTGATGTGATGATGTTGAATTTTACTATTTAAAAGTGTCATTTCCGACCATCTATTTACTCAAAATAATTGTCTCACCTCAGCCCCAACCATGGTGGGGCTGAGGTGGTTGTAGACTCACAGTTTGAAGTAGGTAAAGTAAATACATCAAGATAATGTTTTCAAGTTTCATGTGTACATTACACATACTAATTAGATCTCTGTGGTTGCCGAAAACTGCTGATACTTTTGACTATATAATGGTGATGTGATGATGAATTTTACTATATAAAAGTGTCCGGCTATCTACAGGTACTATTTCCTTAAATTTGTGCACGCACCCCATACCGCCAAATCCTGCATCCGCCCCAGGGGTGTGATACCATGACAACATTATTTATTGGGAAAAGAAAAGAGTACGGTACTTATCAAGCATAAAAAGCCTACCTCCCCCACCCCCCCCCCTCAC